GCGGCGAGAAGGGCGTGCATCGCTCGAAAAGTGCACGGAGACGCGAGCGCCGGCAGGGTCGAAGGTCTCTTTAACGGCGCGATGCTTCTCTCGTCTCTCTTTACCTTTTCTCATTCGCTTGAGACGCTCTCGGAGCCAAACATTCAAATTCCACGATAATCGCGCTCGCGCGCGGTAGCGGTCTCGGCTTGGCGAATAAACAGCGCGAAGAGAGGGGCACCGAGTTTGCGTGCCGCGTATATACAAGTGTTCAAGGGCGCTTACGTGTATATACGCTAAAGTATCCCACGAGAGAGCTGAAAAGGGCTGCTGCGCCGCGCGGCCCTTTCCCATCGCGCATGCATGTATGCATCGGCCATGCGCTCCGCTCGCGCGATTCGCGTGCATTATTGATGAGCAGCCGATTCCCGCTATATATTCCCGGCCACGAGAGGGAGCGAGAGAGAGAGGAAAGCGCCGAACGGGTTTTATCGTTAATCGCGACGCCGCCGACGCGCGCTCCGTGCACTCTATTACATTGTGTGCGCTCGTGTGTGATCGACGCGGCTGAACGCGATGAACACCTCCGTACGCGCATTCGATCTCGATGCCCGGTCATTTTTCGCATTCTCCCGGCGACCGGCTCTCTGTAATGAGGGAATATCGCGTAACCGCCGCTTTCATTACCGCATTGCCTTTTAACCTCGAAATTAGCCCGACCGCTTTCTCTCTCTCTCTCTCTCTCTCTCTCCCTCTCTCTCTCTTTGCTTTTTCTTTTAATACTCCGCTTCTATATGTTTAGTATGTACTTTCTGATAATGTAGCGGCATTTTTTTTTTCGCGAAATTAATTTTCGAGCAATTTTCTTTTTCTCCGTAAAGGCATTCTCTGGCCTTTTACGGTGATAAATTAAAACAAAAAAAAAGCAAATAAAAAAGTACAAAATAACACGCTGTACGTAGTTCGAGGGAAGGAAACGTTACACGTGCGATTGGTTGCATAGTGGGTGGCATATACGCACAACCTTTGAAAGTGCTATATAGAGAAATACCGGGGCATGTAGTTCGACGCGTGATAAGATCGGGCGATATCGAGATCGTTGTTCGCGATCACGACGATCCTCCCCCTCTGCGAGTGCGCATAGAGAGGATCGCGAGCTGCCTCATTATGGCAACACACAAAACTCGGCGAACGTCAAAGCTTTTTCCGTTTTCTTTTGCTCCACATCGTTCTCGTCATTGTTCCCCTTTCCCCTCCATTTTTTTCTCGTATTCCTTCTGTCGATAGGTAATTTTGTGCGTGGGCAACTTCCCGTCGATTGATATTGGTCAAATGCAGCGTGGAGAGCGAGTGCGAAAGCGTCAATCGTCTCAAGAGCGACGTCAAGGCAGCAAGTCGTGTTTACGAAAATTTAGCCTTGCCTTATAACGATAAGTTGGTCACGTTGGTTGATCAACGTTGAAACTGATAAGAGATTCCGCAACTGAAGAATTCTTGAGAATAATGCATTAGTCGTGCTACTAGGAAAAGGTGAGATGCTGGCAAAAGCGCAATATAACATTGCGAGGAAAAAATAGCAGAAAAGCTGGAAGCACAAAGAGCGCACGATTTAAATGTAGGGTAATAAGATAAGCGGGCAGCACGTTGCGGAGTGGAAAAGGCGCTCGGTAAGCGAACGCGCTACACGCTTTCCGCGTGCGCGCAGCTTTATTTACGAGGAAATCGCGGGCAAACGGAACGAAAAGCAACAAAAATATCCGGCGAATAACGATACTCGTAAAGTAAGGTATCTTGCGAAGGCCGAGGCAGGTAGAGAAAGAAAGAGAGATGATCGGATCGGATCAGAAATAGGCTCGAGGGAGCCAGAGACCCTCGTGTGTACGTGTGTATACCATCTTCCCCTCCCCCACTCTCGCACGCATTCGCGCGCCCACGTGCGCGCGCTTGTAATCTACGGCTATTATATCCTAATTAGCGTGATAATTAAGTGCTTTCTTTTGCTCTGTTTGAGCCACACCGCGGAGCGAGACGTTGACAATTGCCGTGCAGTCGCCGTGGGCTGGCCTGTATTTCGTATTTGTTTGCTCTGTCGGCCGATCGACGCAGCCAATTAATGGCTTCATCGGCGTGTCGGCGCGAGCTGCGAGAGCGTCAGGTGCTTATTAAGCCCGTGCATCAATATTTTCCGACGCTCTTGCCGATGCAACGAGCACTCCGTTAATGTTCTCTCTCGGACGCACCGCTGTTTATTTACACGATCGTGTGGGCGAACCGTTTCTCTTTACGACTTGGTTTTAGCTCCGATATTTGACGCTTAATTAGCATTTCGCAGAGGCCCGTACAATCAGCTGCAAATGAAAATAACGCGATAACAAAGCAACGTCGATTGGCGATAAACGGTTGCGATTTAAACGATAAAATCCAATCGAGATGAAATTGAAAAAAGAAGAGAGGCTAGAGCCAATATTATCCAGCGGCCAATACCAGTGAATTTTTCGCCAAACATCGATGTAGCGGCGTTTACCCTCTGGCGAATATTCTCGTTGCTCCCATCGCCGACAAATATTCGCGAGGCGTAGCTTGCCTATACAAGTATGCGCACGCGTCTCGCGGCCTGTGCCAATAGAGAGAATCTTTCCTCTCTCTCTATCTCTCTCTTTCTTTCTCTTGTCTTGTGCACGGAAGGTTCCGTTCCCTCTTCTCGGTCGAGAGAGAAACGAAAAAGAGCTTAATTCGTGGCTTTAAATAGCTACAAGAGCGACGCTGCTGTTCCCACGCCTCTCGGGCCGTCTCCTCCATCCCCCGACTTCGGATGACCTCGCGCCACGCAAACTAGCCACAGGCTCGGCGTGCAACCCGCGTCCGCGCTCGCGAAAACTTTCGGCAATTAGCCAAGTGCGCGCGACGCGCCGAGCGTATACGAGGAAGCGACAACCGTACGCGGTGTGCCCGATACGTTTCTAGGCGCTTCCTGCTCGCTCGGATCTTCTCTTTTTTCTTTTCTCTCCATCTCGCAGCTCATTAAACAATTACAACTAGTCGCCGCAGCGGCGGCGGCGGCGGTGTCGGTCTAATGGCTACGGCAACCTTACAAGCTGCAGTAAATGGATCGACGGATAATGAGGCTCGGTCGCAAAAAAGAAGAGAGAGAGAGAGAGAGAGAGAGAGAGAGAGAGAGAGAAAAAAAGAAGTCCGCTCCAAAAACTCGACCTACGGATTCATGAAAGCGCGTGCAGCGTAACGGCTCGCGCTGGACATCGACGCTTCCCGGGATCGGGCCGCGCGCGCGCGCGCGCGAAAATTAGTCGCGCGCAACGAGTGGCAAGAAATGCGCACACAGCGCTCCGCGCGCTCTTTGCTCAGCGCGGCCGAGAGGAGGGCCGAGGAGGGAGATGGGGAAAAACGCGGCCGTGAGGCTTAGCGGTGGTTTGCGGTTTGCGTATGCCATTATCCCGCTCGCGGAAGGTTCGCCGCTTTTCTACCAAATGACTGTCATTTACACGATGCGCCGACCCGCGCGCGATAGATCTTTCCCCCTTGGCTTTATATCCAACTCGCGCGCGCGCGCGCCTGCTACTAAAACGTAGTTGACGCTCGCGGGATAGGCACTTGTGTGTACTACTGTTATGAATCATCGGGCCTTCATTCGCGACGTGACGTATTATGCGAAAAAGAAGCAGAGATAAACTGCTCTCGCTTGATGTTCGCTGCACGTGCTGTGTGTGTACGTACGAAAAAGTGCCCGTTTCACTGCCCGATGCCACCATCGAATTGTTACTTTGCGAACTAACTGATCGCGAAAAAGAATCCCGCGGGTTTTCGACAATCGCAGCTAAATCGAGATGGAGCTGACGTCCAGTTTGACGGAGTAGCAAATTTGTCGGAGCTTAACGCGGGGAAACTTATTACTAATCACGTATAAACTAGTCGTCGCCGATCGCAAGAGCAAAATGAAATAATGTCCTTTTTACATTGCAACAAGCGTTAAATATTTCGATTTGCGTGCAATTGAAACATGGAGCGTAGAACGACATTTGAATGAAACATTCGTAAGACTATAAAGATCGAGTTTTCGTTGATCACTTTGGTCGTATTCGGCGAATTTTTTTTCTTCTTCTCATTTTCATTGGAAGCCGAAACGAACCGGAGACTCCGGCATCCATTAGCTACAAAAGAATAGGCATGCAAATGGCCTCCCGATAAAATCGCAGGGGAAGGGAGAGAGAGTCGCTAATACCGCGAGCCAATCACCTCGTAAATTCGTCAGTGCTCGCGACCGGGCGGGGAGGGAGGTCGAAAGACAATGGCATGAAGCGCGCATATGCATAGAGAGAAACCGCTCTCTGTTTTGCCGCATGCATTAGAAGAAGTATCGCTGTTGGGTAAACTTCCTGGCGTCGGCGGCGGCGGCGGCGGCAGCGGCAGCGAAGGAAGAGGGATGTATATACGGTGATATATCGCCGAGGCTCACTCGCGCGCCCATTGTCTCTCGCTCGCTCTGTTCCTTCGCGTGCACTGTGCGCCGCGTCGCGGCTTATATACGCGTACCGCGAGCGCGCTCTCCGCCCCGAATGCGCGCGCGAACCTCTCTCTCGCGAGTATTAATTGCGAGGCTCTTGCGTGCCAATCGCCACGGCGATACCCGATGCGCCTTTTATTAAGTCTGTCTGGAAGCCTCTCTTGATGCTTGTCGGAGAGACAGAGAGAGAAAGAGCGAGCACTTTCCGATTATTTCCCTTTTCTTTCCCAACCCAACCCCCGTTTTGGTTTCGGCGTCAGCGGCAAGCTATGCTTTCAACAGCTGTTCGCTTTATACGCATGTCCATTCGCCGCATCGCTCGAAATATTTCCGTCGCTTTCCGTTCTCATCCGTCGAATAAATTGTCGGGGTCACCGCTGCATTCGCTGCCTTTCAAAAGTCTTTCTCTTTTGCCTCAACTGCATCGTTGCTTTTAACTGCGTATTTCAATTTTCTTTGTCACGTGTATTTGCATACTTCGTGTTAAAGGGAATTGACTCACTGTTAGATGCCTGCTTGCAGAACCTGATGAACATGATCCTTTGAATTTTAGGTATAGGCCGCTTGTCCTGAAACACAAATGAAGGTTTCCTTTAATCGCTCGACAGTGGCATATTTTCCGAAAATTTTATGTCGGCTTGTAATTAAGCTGCACGATCTAAATAACGTTATCTGTACCTGTATACCAAGTTAACCTGCCATTCTTGCAATAGATATGCCGATACGACGTAAAACATAAATAAACAAACAAACAAACGACGCGAACCATCGCTGGATTAAGGTATATTTGCTAGCGATCACAATAAACGAAAAAAAAAGTATGCACTCATAATTTGAATTCTCGTTAACTTTTATAATGCTCCCTTTACATCCTGTAACGCCGTATTATTTTGAAGGCGAAAGAATTTAAAGGGATAATATTGCCGTTGCCCTGTCAAAGAATTCGTAAAGTCGCTGCGGATTAAGCTCGCCAAGCGATAAATATAAGTGTAACGCTGAAAAATCGCCGCGTTAAAGCTTAATTAAATGCGGCGATAAAGAAGTGACTCGTCGCCGCGGCAGAACAAAAAAAAAGGAAAAATAATAATAAATAAAATAAACAAAAAAGGGGCGAAGGAAAAGGATATCTCCGAAAGTTGCGCTTCGCGTCTTCATAAAGAGTGCCCTTATGAAAATAAATGTTCGTTCGCAGCAGCAACACAGTGCGCGCGCGCGAAAACAAGAAGTCAAACAAGTCCTCGCGCGCACTTCGAGTAGCGAAAAAAAGAAGAAGAAGAAGAAGCAAAAAAAACTTCATTAACGCTGTACCCGCGCGATATATTATACACAAAGGCATTAAAAACAACGATAAGATTGCGAAGAGCGCGAGAGAGGAGAATTGACGGGTACGAGAGGTTTCGAAAACGAAAGGAAGAAAAGAAAAAGGAGCCGTCGTCCTTCCTCCCACTCTCGTTCCCTCGAGTTTTCTCGAAGAAGGAATGACGGGGCATCTCTCTCTCTCTCTCTCGCACCCGCAACCATGTAATTACGTGGTCCCGCCTTTTCGCTCGATCAGGCCCACGTGTGTCCGTCGCGCCCGTCGAGGCTTTTTGACGCTCGATCCTCGCGCAGAGAGAGAGAGAGAGAGCGCGCCGGCAGGCCCGGAGCTGCCCGCGATGATTTACCGGGCGCGCGATTGCACGCGCCCTCGGGAATGCGTTGCAGGCGCACGGCGCGGAATGCGCCGACGAGCCCGCGCGCTTTTCTTTCTCCGTGTGCGCGCGCGCGTTTAAAGGCCCCGTATAAGCGTAGCCGAGGCGCGTTGACAAATTGCGATTGACGCTCTGGCTTTTTGCGAGCAGCGCCTTGGAGGCCATTTCTTTTATCGTTCGCCCCTGCGCTCGAGCTTGCATCGATTGTTGAATTGAGTTGTTTGCCAGTCGGTCCAAAGAAAAGAACGGCCCGAGCGTCTGGAGTAAGCGATTTGCGCGTTGATCGACGTGCGAACGAATATAGTTCAACTCATCTGCTACAGATGGCGTGATGAAATTATCAGTCTGTGCCAAGCTGTGTCGATCGAAGTTTATAAAGATTTTCATTTCGTGAAATTATCGTTGTTATCAAATCATCTGATACTGGTGTTTAACTGAAACTCTTGATGTGCCTTACCGACTATAAGTTCACGATGAAATACAAAATAGATATTCATCGATCAAGAGATCGACATTTCGGCTCGCGAAATTCCACTCGTAAGCGGGGTTGAGCGTAGCGCGAAAAAAAAATAAACGTCGAGAGAGCGGTCGCAAGTCAGCCCCGTTTGCTTTGGTGCACGCGTATTTCGCTCGCAGCGTATAATTAATCGTCGGGAGGTCGAAAAATCAAGAGAAAAAGGAGGGTCGGCGAGGACTGTACAAACGGCTCATTAATTAGTATCGCTGATTATACGCAGAACGCGACCGTAGGGTCGTATACCGCTGGCATAAATGGGAGAACGAGGCGCAGGTACACGGGGACCTTGTGTTAGATGTGTTTGTCGCGCGAGCGACTGCCACAGATGAACCCCGATAGATAGCGTGGCACACGTACACGCCATTCGGATGCTAATGAGAAGTTCAAAGTTTACAGCATATACAATTAAGCACATTAAGAGCGCGCCGTTCTTTTTCATGGGCACAGCGTTGACGCAGCCTTGATCGTTCGCGTGAGTCCCCGCGCGAGCGAGCTGGATTTCGCAATGACTAGGCCGGTGGACCAACTGTGCCGCTCTCAATTAGACTCCACCGATGGCAATATACTTTGCTTTACCAGAGCAATCAATTACTCATCGAATATAAGCGTATCCGTTATGAGTAAAGCGCGATGAGCTTTTTCGCGCCGTTCGGCCGATCACTGCCTCCGTGATGTACGCGTTGCAAGCGCGTACGCAGTACAAGCTTATTATCGTAGCATGCCGTTTCAGTTTTTCATCTCGCGCGCCATCGCGCATCCTAATTGCTACATAAACGATCGATCCGCGTCGCGTGGCATTACAATAATCGGCCCGTACGTACACGACGCTCGCGGGGTTAATTGACTTCGCCGGCGGTAATTTGCCAGGCGCGATGAAAGTATAGGCGATACCGCGCGCAATTTGTTCCGCTGATTTTTCAGCCGATTCGCGTGCGCGTCTGTGTGCTTTACGCGTCCTCGAAACGTCCAATTAATGTCAGGGAAACAGCCGCTCGCGAAAATATGATTTGTCTTGTTTGCATATCGACACGTGATGTAATGTGCATCGGCGCAATAAAAGTGTGATAAAAAAAGAAAAGAAAAAAGAAAAATAAAACCGAAAAAAAAAAAAAAAAAACGCGATCCGAACATGAACTTTTAACTTCACGTCTGCGCGTAAAACGATGCCTAATGCAGAAAGAAGCACGCGCCATCTACTAATTCAATAAATTAAAAATGCTCAACAATGCTGTATATATGTGTGCTGATGCAACAGCCGTTTCCCATCTATTATGTCGCTCGCTTAGCTAAAAAACAAATTTTCTCGTGGTTCAAACGATCGTGACGTCGCTGGCGCAGAGTGCACGCGCGAAAAACCGGTAAATTCCAGGAGAGAGAGAGACCTTTCTCGCTCTCGGCTTCTCGTCTCGTGCGCAGCTTTGTATACGTGTGTGTGTGTGCTCCGTGCCGAAACACGCGCTCACCCGAGCGCGAAGACAAATGTCGAAGATCGAATTTACAGAGAGAGACTTGCACGAATCTCGCGAACTGCAGAACGAAAGCAGCTGCTCCCTGCAAGTTGCACAGCCAGGGACAAAGGCTCTCGATTTCGAAGATGCACGCTCTTTCGCGGACGAGAGAGAGAGAGAGAGAGAGAGAGAGAGAGAGAGACACTCGATACTCGCGAGGAACGAGAGGCTCTCTCATGCTCCGTCACGACTCAATCTGCATGCAAGAGCATCGGGAGACTCGCGTTTCTACGACTGCAACCGCATTTTCTCGTGCTCCTCCTTTTTCTCATCATATCAAATGTGAAGAATACCCATGTCGAGCCTGCGACTCATACCTATATGCTACGAGGATTATATTAATGCATCGGGTTCGGAAAAATTACCACGTATGCTCTCGCGATCGAAAATCACATCGCCGAGCGGAGCCTCCGTGTATAATCTTAAAACTGACAGCGATATAATTCGTTGCATTACTTGAAGCCGACTGAATGATAAAATGCCCGACGCTTTTTTTCTTACACCGACTACTAAACTTTCCAAATTCATTGGCCCTTCTAACAAAAACTCTGACCTTTTTTTTATGACACGGAACGCTTTTTTGTCTTTCGCGTGTCCGCTGTGTGTGTAACAGTCGTAAAAGCTGGCAAAAATCGGCGCGGAGAACAGCGATTAATTAAACTACCCGAGAAAGCTCATTCGCAGTAAATTCACTTGGTTTTTATCGGTTGTATAACTCTCTCTCTCTCTTTCTCTCTCTCATAAAACAATGGTCGCGCGTACGCAAAAAAAGCCAGCGAGTCATAATTCACTTATATCGATAATAATTGTTGCACCGAGAGAGGATTTCCGATAAGTCTATATAATTACCAGCCCTCCGATCGGCTTTTTAATGGGCCTCCTATTAGAAAAGAAAATCGGCCGCGCGCAAAGAAGGGGGCAAGAAGATACACAGAGTCTAATGGCTCGTAAACTCTCTCCGTGAAAACTGCTGCTGCTGCTGCTGCTGCTGCTGCTGCTGCTGCTGCTGCTGGCGTTCTATACGGAGGTAAAACGACAACGAGTCAAGTGCAAGGCTCGTTAAAAGGCGATAAAGCATTAGGCAGGGTAAAAACCGGAAATCTAATCCATAGCTGGTCGAAAAAGGAAGAAACAGGGACAGCGGCAATAGCGGAGTCTTCATTTTTTCAGTGCTCGTACGCGGGTATCTGCTCCGCGGGTGGGACGCCTCTGCGCGTACGCCTTTGCGAGAGGGAGGCCGAGAGCCCGCTTAATTTATTCGCTCGCACCTGTCGGCCTGTTGTTGCCTGTCGCTTGATACAGTGACGAATCGCTCGCTGGCGCGCGTCGACTGCGGATGAGTATAAACGCGCGTGGTGGTGCGTTGGCCAGCGAGTCAGCTGACGTTTCTCCTTTGCGCGGCCGCGCCAAACTTCTCGTTTCGCAGATTAATCTGATTCGCCGCGATATGATTTGTCTTTCCCTTGACGCCGCGCGGTGGAACGACATACATCGGTCAACTCGCGAGACAGCGATCGGCGATTTCGAGAATGCTCAAGCGCAAATGATTCCAACTCGGCAATTTCGCCCACGTCCGCGCGGTGTCCTCTCTGCCGGCGAATAAGCGCGTCCGATTCAACGTGAACGTCGTAAAAGGAGAGATCGAACGCGGAACGTGGAACGCGGAACAATAAGTTAGAGAACGGTCGCGCACAGAAGACGGGCAGATGTATAACGAGGCGACGCGCATTGGGCGCGAGTGCAAGCGGACTTTGCGGCGTCAAAGGCGAGAGGTACAGCTGGATTCTCGGCGGGCCGAGCGCGCGCGTGCGTCTAGCAGCGAGAAGGACGTGGATCCGCGCGATCCAGCGCGC